TGAGAACTTTCCAAACCTTGTCTCTCCTCCCCGGTTCTTGAATTAAATTGTGCTTTTCTCTCATGTGGGCCTGTAGTTTTTGACCTATTAGTTTCAGACCAGAGACTTTTAACCATTTGGGGGCAACCCTATCTTCAGAGGGATTTAAAAATACTTGGGGACTAATGAATGAATGAATGAATGAATGAAAAATACTTGGGAAATGAATGAATACATGGGGACTAATGAATACATTCTAGTTCCTGGTACTTTTTTTTCTCTAGGCACTATTTTCCAAATATAAATCAAAAGTATTTCTTATCAGTCTCTACTGAGGATGTATCAGGAAGTAATTTGAACCTAGATTAAATATTAGAAATTTTTTCTAATGTCAAGAACTGTTAACTATTAGATTGGATGACCTACGTAGCCCTGGACCATTCTCTGGTTGCCAGCTCTCACTATGAATGGCTTAGGTTCACTATCGTGGATTAGTAATAGATGAGACTTCAGTTGGGAGACTTTAAAATCCTTCCCAAGCCTATCATGATGGAACAGAGTAGGACTGAAAATGTCTGGGTTGCCTTGAGTCTTCTCAATTGTACAAAAGAATTTGGTAACAATGAAGCTACCTCTCCACATCCAGCGTCTGCTCCAAGACTTCTTTTTCTGTTTTTTGAGTCCCACCTGACCCATTTTTGGAGGAAGAAGTTGTTCTCTGTCCAAACTATAACATGAGGGAAGGTGTGACAAGCATGGCCCTGGAGTGTTCTTGACTTGGGGCAAACTGGCTGGTTAATACAGGCAATCCCCAGGTTACAAACAAGAGAGGTTCTATAGGTTTCTTTTTAAGTCGAATTTGTATGTAAATCGGAACAGGTACATTTACCAATTCCTTGTAATAGCCCCTGTTCATAAGTGTGAGTTGCAGACAAGTTGGGTGTTTGTAACTTGGGCATTGCCTGCCTAACAATTCTACTATAGGGAAAGGACGGAGTGAATATTTGGAGCAAATGCTGAAGAAAAGGGAAGCAAGCCACTGGCCTTGCCAGCTGGGATAAAAGCTGAACATGTAGTGGGTTTCTCCTACTTGGTTGTAGGACTCATTCCACTTTTTAAAAATAACAGCTTTAGGGCGGCGCCTGTGGCTGAAAGGAGTAGGGCGCTGGCCCCATATGCCAGAGGTGGAGGGTTCAAACCCCGCCCCGGCCATAAAAAACTGCAATAAATAAATAAATAAATAAATGACAGCTTTATTGATATATAACCCACATACCAAAATATTGACTATTTTAACGTGTATAATCAGTGGTTTTTAGTATATTCACAAGGTTGGGCAACCATCACCACTACTCAATGACAGAACTTTTTCATCAGCCCCAAAGGAAAGCCCTTATCCATTAGCAGTCAGTGCCCATCTCTCTCTGCTCCAGGCCCCCGTAATCCACTCTCAATATGGGCTGACCTATTCTTGCCATTTCATCTAAGTGGAATCATATAATATGTGGGGTTTTTGTGTATAGATTTACTTTTTTTTTTGAGACGGAGCCTCAAGCTATCCCCCTGGGTAGAGTGCCATGGCATCACGCTCACAG